GGAGGCGCTGTCAAGCATCTCAAAAGATGAATTTAGACAATGTTTTGAAAAATGGAATAAAAGACTAGACAAGTGTATTAGTGTAAGTGGAGAGTACTTTGAAGGGGATTGAAGGTTTGTGCTTAAAATTTGAATAAATAAGTTAAAAAAAAAATAAGTTCGGTTTCTTTTGGGTACCCCCTCGTATGTTTCCCATAACCCCCATGTTCTGTAAGGCCTTGGTCTTGCCAACAGATGTGTTCTTCAGAAACTCTGCTGTACTAAAATCATAAGTAAACGGTATTCGTATGAATACAGAAGATCTTAAGTTCGGTAACTGCTATATACTAAAATGGGAATGGAAATACAAAATGACATATCTCCTAAGAGATTCTGAAAGTGTTGATCATGTTGTTACAAAGTGTTTAGAAACAACAGAAGACAAATCTTTTGTAAATTACTTAGATTAAAAGCTACTACTGGCCTAACAGATAAACAACTTGTTCATATTTGCTTCTGTGTATATAACTGTCGATATCATTTCACTGCACAGAAGGTATTCCTTTACTTACGTTCAGTCTCAGGCACACTTGATGTAATGGAGGAGCTGGTAGAGGTAAGAGTTGTAACTGATGGAGGCCGAACAGGAAACGATTCTCCTGAAAGCCATTTTATGCATATTTAATGAACTAAATATAATCGTAGAAGCAACAATAGAATACACAACAACATAAGACTATGTTACCTCTAATAGCTGCTGTATGTGCTACCCAAGCTCCTGGGTCAATTGGCCTTACAGGTTCAGTTCTAGGAATTGTGAAGTAACCTTTAGGATTGGGGTCCCAACACTTTGCAACCACTAGTTTGATAGGCCTGAAAAATTAATGTTCATGTTATAAGTTACTCGTCCAAACAAATGTTTATCCGTATGCATTCCAATGTACAGCCATGAATTCACATTTACTTATTTTATTCATTTGTAGCTCACAATACTCTCCGTTACTCAGAACTACAAAGCACCAAACCATGGATTCACACAAATGGGAAACCTGAGAATAACAAATATTAGTAAAATTTCTCACTTCTCTGATTACATTGCCGATTAAATGTTTCTAACAGCATGACAATACTGGTAAAACACAAAATGACATATAAGTGATGGTTTCTTGTACAGAAAAAGTTATGAGGCAGTGATGTGAGATTGGTTCTTCTACAATTTTTATAAACTGCATTTAATCTACTGACACACATTTCCATGTGCTTATTCCACAAGACTTCCTCATTTTAACAATCCATTGTGCTGTCCCATGTCCTATACCACTTGCCCAAAAAATGCAATTTATTAACTCAGTGCACTGGTTCACTGTCCACTTGAAGGAACTGAACATCTCTAAGTCCCTTGCCCATTTATAAATCTTTGAATCCTTGTCTTCAGTTTTTAAAAACAAAGGAACACATTACTAAATCAGAATGAAAAACAGGCTACAGGAGAAACAGGAAGTGAGTGGTGCCGACTTGTTTAACTATTACAAAGCAACAATTCCTGGTACTGTGCAACCAACAAACCACTGTCTGTCACCCATCATCCACATTAGTAACAATCTACTCATAATCATGGAAATGAAATATTTATGTTATGAAACTGGTCTAACAAAGATCTTCCATGTCTTTCTACCAGTTAAGTGTCTTCATCCCTACCCTCCCTTGAAATTGCACATTTCCCAAAAGTAAGACAATACAGTATGATAATTCCAAGTTAAGAAATTCATTCTGGCCTCAAGTCAAGAGGCCTTCTCTGGTATTATAACTTACCCTGGTTTCTGGACAACCTCTCTCAAGACTCGAACTGCCTCATCATTGGACATGTTTTCAAAATTAATGTCATTCACCTGCAGTATCATATCACCAGGCTCAATGCGTCCATCAAGAGCTACTGCTCCCCTACAGAGTAGAAAATGTGTACAGATATCATGTACAGGTTCAATACAACTACTCTCAGTAAATGAAAATGTATGTAATGTAGAATTACAGATCTCACTCAATTCATTTAGAGAAATGGAGGTATTACACTTAGTCTCACATTCCTCTTATTGCACATTTCAGGAATAACACTACAGGGCTGTTGAAATCTGAGTAAAGGTTTACTCATGGGGTAATGCAGCTGAACTACTGTCTACCTACAAAACTGTGCCATATTAGTTAACAAACATCCAAAATTTAAAAACTAAGCATACCAAACAAAAACTGTAATTTTCAACTAGCCAGTAAGATAACAGACAACTTGACCGGTGGTGATACATATATATTACACAGCAAGATCACACAAACAAATGTAAAGGAAATAAATCTCCTACCATAATAACCAACTTCATATTCATACGTAGTAACACGCAGAAACCAAATGAACAATATAAATAAATTGTAATTATTTTTGTTACACCTCTGTATCCAATTTCATATTGTGCCCTCACTCACTCCACCTGTGTCCAAGCTCTCTGCTGCACAGCATATGTTTTTTGCATTGGAAACTTGAATCTGAGCAAAACTAACTTTTGTACTCAAGATGCCCAGGATACACACATGAATTCATGTCAGATGCTTCCTGCATCGAGTTGATTAGCTTGTTAGTAAATTTTTTACCTACTTCTACACAATAAGAATTATGAAATAAAGATATAGTCCACATTTACTGACAATTTATATTTGCAAAATGAAGCCTACAAAAACTATGCATAAAATGACCAGCAAAATAAAACAACAATTTACCCTTTCATGATGGACCCAACATAGATACCTCCATCACCACCCTTGTTGCTTTGACCAACTATGCTGATGCCAAGGAAATTAACAGTATCCATATTGAGTGTAACGGTGATGATATTGAGTGACATGGTCGAGTCTGTGATGGAAGAGAATGAAGACGTACGAGACATAGCAGGCGGAACACGATGTCGGCGGCGCCGTGGGCGACGACGGCCAGATAAATGCAACCGCGACACACTGCTATGATCTGCTATAAACAAAACAATATAAAATAGGCATTTACAAGTTTTGAATTTTCAAGCTCAAATCAAGGGAGGAAAAAATTCTTCATTTGCATGTTAACTTTTCATTTTTAAACTGTGGGTAATTTTCAGATAACTGCTTTTGCTTTGAACATCGGAGTCATGTCAAAAGGGTGCCTGCCTGAATGGAAGGTGAGTTCTTTCCCCACTTTAAGGGCTACTAAACTACAAGTTGTCACAGACTTAAGTGCTATATGTATTCACTGATTTAAGTTGGTTTTAAGCTTTTACAGTATCCATGGCACAGTTCACACCAACATGCTTAAAGAGTAGCAAGCAAGAAAGCATGAGAGACAGAAATACGTTCAAATATCAGAACTCACATGCTACTACAAGGCTGTACAGAGTGTCATCAGGGTTATGAAATAAATGAGGTAAGTCACTGTTTTAAAGCCACAAGAATCTGTGCTAAAGCAGGAGCCCTTCACAATAAAAAAGACAAATGTAAAGAATATAATGTAAAGAATATAAGTATTAATGTGAAGGTGAATGTGTCAGAAGTACCAAGCTGCAGTTATAATTTAAATATGCAAAACATATGAACAAACAACTGTGAAGAGGCAAGAAAATACACTGCCTCCCAAGGCAACCATCCAAAGACTTAAACAAAAAGTGTAAATTATACCAATTCTATGTCAAATTGTCATTTGTATGGATTTAAAGGACCGCCTCTGTGGTCTAGTGGTCAGAGTTCCTGGCTCCACTCAGCCTTGTGAGGATAACTGAGGAGCTACCTGAATGGAAAAGTAGAGGCTCCAGTCTAGAAAAACAAAATTAATGGCCATAGGGATTCATTGCGCTGACCACGCAACACCCTCTATCTGCTAAAGTTGGCAATAACTTCGCTGACAAGCAGCAGTCACTCAGTCAGTTGGTATAGTTCGCTTGCATACTAAAGCCATGGAGTTTTTTTTGTATGGATTTACGAGTAAAGACAGAATGGAATGTCAGTTAAGCTGATATTTTAATTCCAGCACAGGGTGATATGTACAAACATTGCAATGGAACCAGTTTTCTTTACAGTGAAGGTCTTCACTTTGCAAAAAGTTATCATCACACTCTGAGGTAATGCCAATGAAATGACAGTATATTTCAATATGTCAACCAATTACACCATTAACCTTTAATGGGCAAATGTCACATATATATGATGCAAGCAGCAACCCAAGTTGGCTGAATGACACATATATGTGATGCAGGACACATGCTCTCTTTGGGAGTGCTGACAGTTTGACCTTGGGTTTGAAACCAAAACAAACCTACATGAGGTCATGTCAGTGGTTCATTCCTTAGCTCTGAACAAAGAAATCGTTTATCACGGTACTGGTTTTGACCCTATTTACGTTTGGATATGACTGTTTATGACCTGGTCAGCCAAATATCGCCCAGCTTTGTTTTGAGAATTGATGAGGAAATATTCCTCTGTGCTTGCATGTGAGTGCTTCCAGAGACTTCAAGGAAGTGTGATGCATGCAAGGATTGGTTTTCAGTGACGAATTATCAGTTAGGAAGTCAGTGTTGGATTGTCTAATATTTCTTTATCAGTTAAAAAGTCAGTGTCAGACTGTCATATATTTCTTTATATATCATTTTTATTTTGCGTCTTGGAAGAGGTATAAACCCCCTGAGCTAGTATTACTTTGTGAGTAAAAGGCATCTTCGCCACTGCGACTTTCGGTATCAGTGTCAGACTGCCACTCTTTTCAACTAGTATTATATTTACTTTGCATCACTATTCTGCGAGTATTACCAACAGGTGAGAGTGTCGCTTTGTCAATCAACATAATTTATTCGATTTTGCTAGAAACCCCCTCCCCCAAGACGATTCTTCAATCGCACAAGCCGAATATCATGGTCAGTGGTGTTTCTCGGGGAAGGCCAAAGTTATCAGGGGCCCCAACTGAGTTCACTGGAGGTGAAACATTCACAACGCTGGTCAACCAAAGGGAAACAACGACGTCATGTGTTTCGCTAAATAAGAAAAGCAGGAGCACGCTCTTCTATTGTAATAAGGGTGGTGTCGCTCTGTGTGAGGTGGACTGCTTTGAGAAGTGCCATGCGTGGCAGAGTGTATCGTAAACTGTGAAGCGACGCAGTTCAAACTCATGTACAGTCTGAACAAAATATTATTGTATATAGTGTGACTATATTTACAATATCACCATGATTAAAAGTCCTTTGGAATTTCATAACATATATATAAAAGATTATATTTTGCATTTCATGACAAAATAATCACAGTTAATTTTCGTTTGTAAAAATTGCTCTTTTGAGTATATGTAGAAAATTTTATTGTCTTTCAAACTGTTTTTAGTTCGTATTTCTATGTTGCATAAACGGAAAATATGTATTTTTTTCTGAAAGTTTGCAATGTTAATTAATTAGGGCAATTTAAATACCAGCCGCAGGGGGCTGCCGGCAATTTAAAAGTCTGTACGTTAAAGGTTAATGATATAGGTGCAAAGTTTGTCGTCGAGGAAATATCAGACAATGAGGACTTTAATGGTGACAGAGTTCAAAAGACAGCAAGTAATTACTACCATATGTGATATTAACTGAAAAACTATGCTTAAGGCATAGCTGCCTATGGGGGTAATAATTAGATATCAAACTAGGAGATGGATGACTAAATGAACTGATGGGAGGCTAGTTACAAGTTGCCTGGAACAAGAGACCAGAATATCGAGAAATCATGGAGTTTACGCAGGCTGCATTTAGAAATATCTGCCAATGAGTGACTGTAATGGTGACAGAGTTAGCAGACAGCATGCAGTTTCCATTAAACATGATTGTGAACTGAAAACTTATGCCTATGGCACAGATGCTTATGGGGCCAATGCAGGTATCAAATTGAGAAACAGATGACCATATGAGCTGATAGGAGACTGGGTAAAAGTTGTCTGGAACAGGAGACCAAGTGTACTGTTGACAAAATGAGGAATGTTTGTGATGGATGAATTTAAAGGCCATTTAACACACTGCAGACCGGACAGGCCATATGGCCCTCTACATTTCCAAACGTTGCGGACCGGGCGGGCCATGTGGCCCTCTATGGTCACGTTATGTTGCAAAACGCTATATATCGCTGTGTGGCTTCGTTGAATCGTAACTACTGCGTAGATGACCTCGGGAATGATTGCTGCCTTATCTAGTAACTCGACCAGAGTCATTTCCTGTCACAACCTAAACAAAATTGGCTTTGTTCTAATCCAAGCTTGCACGTATGAACCACGCAGCTACCAGTTCAACATGGCTCAGAGACGAAAGCAGTTGCGATCTCTCGGAGGACAGGAAATATTAGATATGTTCTCCGATGAGCTATCAGATTTGCCAACTGCTTCGTCTTCTGATAGCGAGGCCATTATCAGTGACAGTGACAGTGACGGGGGCCACAGGGCTGCCCAAAATGTGTCAAGTGAAAGTGAGAGCTCCGTTGAAAGTGCGAGTGTCGGGACAGCTACATGGGATAAAGTGGACAAAACCCCCACTTTGGGAAAGTTTACTGGTGATCCGGGGGTGAAGCAGATGCCATCGGACCCAACGGACGTGTCTGAAGTTGTGTCACTGTTTTTTGGAGATAGTTTCTTTGACGGAAGGGGGACATTCTTCTTCAGTCCTGGAGGGATACTCGCATTGTGAATATGGTTTCCACTATTCACAATTCGAGCATGGTCGATGTTCAAAGACGACACGGGCAAGTAAAGAAGCCTCTTTGTATTTCCGAGTATAATATGTTCATGAAAGGAGTTGATAGGGCCGACCAGTTCTTGGCCTATTATTCCCTTCCTAGGAAAACAGTAAAATGGACGAAGAAAGTTGCACTGTGGCTTATAAACTGTGCAATTTTCGATTCACTTACGGTTTTCAAAAAGGTGAACAGAAATTCTACTTTGAAATACAAAGCATTTCTGTTGAAACTGGCAAAAGCTTGGGCTACTGACGTCACGGTGGCGGCAGTACCTGCGTCAGACACAGACGTAGTGCAGCCGGGGCCATCTGTTCACACCCGCCAGAGGCCTCAAGTAGACCCCCCTGGCCAACTCTCAGGTGATATGCAGAAACATATTCTCGTGAAAATTGTGAAGAGGGAATATTGCAAGAAGAAACACCCTTCTAGGCAGTGCCGTGTGTGCGCAGAGCACAAGAAGAAGAGTAGAACTGCCTACATGTGCAACTTCTGCATAATGCCTCTTCCCAAAGGGGAATGTTTCCAGAGATATCACATGCGCAAGCATTTCTAGGAGCTCTGGTAAGTGTTCTCCAAAAATTTCAGTTCATAAAATTAATTAGGAGATTTTATATTAATTTTTAAAGTGAACAGTGCACAAGTTAGGGTAGTAGGTTTAAAAACGCCGGTCCCCAGGGTGATTTAAATGTTTAAACCACCGGTCCGCAATGTGTTAACACAGGGTATCAGATCTGATTCATGCAGTGAACACTGACTTTGTGATCATACTTGCAGGGAAGGCTTCATAACTTCACATTCAAGTGAATAAGCCTCTTAAGGATCATCTGAAATAACTGTACTCCAAATAGCTCTTGACAGAGAACCATGTTCTGACACCTCCAAGACAACAATGGGGCCCAGGACATCAACACCATGGCAATGGATCTCTCCAGAAGTGACAGTCAAAGGACTTAAAAACTGTTCTATATCTGATGAAGTTGATTCAATAGATGAGAGGAAGAAGTTGGGAATGTTGGCTGTGAACATAACAGTGAGAGTGATAAGGAGAACTGTGAAGACACTGAAGCTGAGATAGATGATATGACTGGTGAAGCTGAAAAAAGGTTAGTGACTTCAAGAAGGAAACTAACTCAATAAATTCAAAATACAACATACTTTCTAATATTTATTATCTTTCACGTGTTTTTAATAAGAGTAAAAGCTGTCCCTGTACTTAACTTATCAAGCAGTAAGCCATGAAGTTGTATGGGAGAGTGGATCTATACATCCAGTTTCTTGACCTTGGCATTAGTTGCGGGTGAGTGGTGAAAGAAACTGATTCATAAAATTACTCATATTTTTTCTGTGCAGGCATGTGCCCTAGTGAGAAGGTGTATTCCATTCAGAATCATCTTCCATTTGTGTAAATATGGTAGCACACTAAAAAGTGGCTAATGTTTTAAACTATTACAGAGAAAACAATTGGTCTATTACAGAAAATTCTTGATCATGCCTCAGTTCTCAATGTTTCTAAATTCTTATTTCAATTTCACCTCAAAGTTAAAGAATGTATATGTATATGTACATCAAAATCCTTAATTACCTTGCATCATCTTTCGTACTGATAGAGTAGTTATCTTTTTTTTTTTTTTGATGACCAACGATGAAAATCTTAAAGAATCTTAGTAAGGAGAAACAAATACCAATATGAACTTAAGGGGGAAACTCTCAGATGATTAGATCACAAGAAGGGACCTACAAAGAAAGGTATAATACAGAAAGGAGTATTAAACCTTACTACAGTATTGAATTTACTTCATATCCCTGTTTCAATACAGAGTTTTTCTGCTTTCTTCTCATAACAAACAAACACAGACAACATGAAGCATAAACTATAACCAACTCTAATGTTCTGGCAGGTGTAAGCCACTGAAACTTACTGGGGTACTACAATATAAAGCAAAGGAAAAAAGAACACTGGATTGTTCAGTGTATTCCTAGATAAGACAGGTCAAGGAGGATAAAATTTGGCCAGAAGAAAATGGAATTTTTCACATTCAGATATGTGTGGGTGACAAAATCAGAGAAAACTTTGAGACAGTCATCAGAACCATGTAATATAAACATAGAAACGAAGAAATCATTTAATATAAGCATAGAAAAGAAGAAATTATGTAACTTTTAGCTTCATATTGTTTCCCCATGCAATGCTCATTACAAATGTAATACCAGTTCCTAGAGTCTGTCTGTCAACAGAAAGGTTGGTGGCTCTGCCAGTGGTGGTGGTAATTCTACTTGAAGCATCATCTTCAGATTCCAAGAAACTTGTTGTCTCCAGGTCAGAACTGAGCATTGAACTTGACTCGTAACCATGTCCAGATCTATGTTTTGAATGTCCATTTATCCGTAAACCTGACAGGAAAACAAAACATTCATTACTCACAGTAAGAAAATTTTCATATAAGAAAGAAAAATAAGTGTGAACGTATATCGTCAATGAGGTTATGTATGTTTATTATTATTACTCGTAGGTATGCGATGAAAGTGGCAACTTCAATGTCTATATTAACCTTTAACATCTGAAGTGCACACTGAAAGTTACAGGCATAACTAAATTACACATATGCATGCATTTGGGCATTTAAACGCTGCTAGTAGAAGTACACACAATTCTAAATAATTATTTTTAAATATAGTAAAATTCAATGTACATACTTCTGTTAGCATCTTGACATATATATGGGCTTCACTCCCCCACCCCTTTCATCTAACTGAATCGCGTCTTTGTATGGCATTCCTCAAAGAACCTGAGAATGTACAGTCGCACATCACGTCATCGTCTTCAATATAACGTTTCACTGCCATTATATGATGAAATGAAACTACGACATTCGAATTTACTATGAACTCAGAAGAAATTAATGCACTCTGTATCTCAGCTACAATGCAAGCATCCGCTTGCAACCATAGAAAGGGCAATATTTTCTTGCAGCTACAATGGAAGGGCTTGGGACTGACGTACAAAACAAAGAATTCTCTCTGATCTCTCTTGAATTTCCATAGATTCACTTGCTATCCCTCTAGTTAACAGAGTTGACTAACTGAAGAGTGTAGAAAAAATGTCACTCTTACAAAGAGAATAATAAAACAAGGTCTTTAGTGATTCCCAGTGGCACTCTGGCATGCCTTTCTTCAAAGTGAGGGATTTCCATTGTATCTGATATCATTTCTGTGAAGTATCAACCCACTGCTAGGTAATGGGCCAATAAACACACATTCTCAACAATATAGGAGCAGTGTTTCTGTAGTCTGTCCATGGACCATTGCTAGGCAATGCACACTAAGCTCATTCCTGTGTAAGTGGTGATGTCACACAACAATAAAGGCTGCTTTTTCTGCTGTGGTCCATGCCAAGTGGTGATGAAGGACAACAAAAGAGGTGTTTTCTATGTGGTGTTTCTATGTGGACAAGTTGGAATATTCATACTTATATTGTGTATGAAGCTCGTAATGTAGATGTAGTAAAGTAAATTATAATATTAGGCAGTGCCTCATCTCACAAAGTATTGTCCGTACTGTAGGGAAGGTAAACGACGACTCGTTGTTCCAATTTGTCCGTGGGAACGAAACAAAAAACAAATCACAAACCAACGACTGACACATTAACGTAAAAACACCAAAATAATTTTATTCTTATTTTATATCATAATTCTGTTTTATATAACTTGATTTATTGTATTTTCTATGTCAAGTTTTTTTTATATATTTTAATAATATTGTATCCAATTTTGTTGGTGCTGCGGTTCAGTGGTGTATATGTGTGTGTAAATCATGTGTTTGCCTGATGATGGCTATCAATAGCCGAAACATGTAGCAGGGCCGAAAATGGTCTGATCTTGATATTGGTTGTGTTGTGACAGATATAATAAAGAGGTATCATTAATACACATGACAATATGTTTGGTTACTGTCTTGACTTTATCAATTTATAAACCCTTTATGAAACAGCTACAAAAAGCTGAATTTAATCACAATCATACTTCAAGTTCATCTCTGATAACACCTGAAACAGGTGGATTTAGTATTCTGAACATCTTGGATTACTAGATTCACTAGTTACATATTGATTTCTTAGCTTCAGAGCAGAAGGATTACTGGACACTAATAAAGAGTCTGTATCAATTTCAGCATATGAGAGTCTGAGCAAGTTCAGTTTCTTCATGAATATAAAAGATCAGAAGTCAATATTCCCTTTGCCACTAGGCACAGTCAAGCTCTTGCTCGACCAAAAAATTAAATGTACTAATTCAACTGAGTCTCATTAATAATCACCCCATTTTCTGCTACATTCCTGGTTATTACAATAGTAAATTGAATATTAAATAAATAGAGTTTGAGGATATGTACTGGATTCACGCTATTTAGAACCAGTTCCAGTAGTGGATTCTTGTGAACCTTCTGGTTCCACATAAGGTGAGAAATTTCTTGATAAACTGAGTGGTTATTACTTTATAATTCTGAATGATCCCCCTTCCTAACCTATATCTTACAACAATATTTTATTTAAAAATGAATGTCCTAACACAAATAATTTAATTTATCCAGTGCAGCCGATTTCCATACTGTAAGGATACAACGCTCATTAAGTTCTGAAATTGGAAAAGTTATTTACTATCACTTCATATTTGTTGAAAAACTATTTGCATACATGAAAGTAGAAGACAGAAACGTCCCACCATTCCAAAAACTGAAGAAAGTATGAAGTTCAGACAGCTAGATATCATGTATACATACTTTCATGGTGACCTCACTTACCATTGTATTTATTGTACTTGTCTCCATGATGAGGTCTAGACCCTTTGTGAACATTATGATGCCCTAAAATAATAAAGACATCAAAAATAAGAAGCTGCAAAACTTAGTAGTCACTACTGTGTCTATATAAAAATGAAACAAAACAAATCCATATACCGTATGTCCAAAAAGTATCCGACTTTATTTTTTTCCGCTGTAAGTAATGGCCAAAGGGTGGGGAAACTGAGCGTAGTGGTAGAAGGGACTTTCATGCGCATGTGTGATTTTTTGCTGACTCTCAATACTTCTGGATGCATCTGTGACTGCCAGATAGCAAAGTGGTGTAACACGTGTTTGTCGCCTTCCGTTTTGCTCAAGATGACAGAACGCTTGGAGCAGTGATACTAAATTAAGTTTTGTCAGAAACTTGGGGATACTCAAGCGGAAACAATCCGCAAAATTCAGCAGGCTTTCGGCAATGATGCAACAGGGGTCACTCAAATTAAAGAGTGGTTCAACCGCTTTAAATATGGCCTATGTCAGTGGACAGTGAGCAGCGTTCTGGGAGACCGTCAACAAGCCGAAATGCTGATGTCATTGAAAAAGTGCGGACACTGATCATGAAGGACCGTCGTTTGGCTATCTGTGAAGTTGCTGATGAGGTTGGGACCAGCAGAGGTTCCGCAAACACAATTTTAACTGAGGATTTGGGCATGCAAAATTTGTGCCCAAGCTGCTTTCGCCGGAGGAGCAACAACTCTGCCTTGAGGTCAGCAGGACATGCTGGAGTGTGCTAACAGGGATCCTGAGTTCCTGAAGACTCTGATCACTGGTGATGAGTCGTGGGTGTATGGATATGAAGGGGAAACCCAGGTCCAGGCGTCACAATGAAGCATCCAACATCGCTGAGGCCCAAAAGAGCACGACAGGTTCAGAGCAATGTGAAGGTGATACTGACTGTTTTTTTCGATTACCGGGGTTTTAGCATTATGAGTACGCACCACTAGGCCAGACTGTCAATAAGGAGTACTACCAAGAAGTCCTCCACCATCTTCGTGATGCAGTTCGGCGCAAGAGACTGGAGCTGTGGGATGCACACAACTGGCAGCTGCATCATGACAATGCCCCAGCTCATTCATCACACCTGATCCAGGGTTTCCTGGCCAAGCACGGCATTCCGCAGGTTTCCCAGGCTCCCTACTCTCCTGACATGGCTCCTTGTGATTTCTGGCTGTTCCCGAGATTGAAGACACTGCTAAAAGGCTGCCGTTTTGACAGCCGTGAGGAAATCACACAGAACACGACAGCGCAGCTGCACACCATTCCAAAAGAAGCCTTCCAGAATTGCTTCCAGCGATCTGAGGACCGCTGGGCTAAGTGTGTGGAGTCACAAGGGGCCTACTTTGAAGGCGATTAGGTACTGTAACCACCCAGATACAGAACTTTTTTTCCCGGCCCATGGTCGGATACTTTTTGGATAGAGTAGTACAGTGGAACTTCACTTAATGAGCACCTCTCATAACGAGTAATTCGCATAATGAGTGTGAGGGGAAGTCCCGGATTGTGCGCTTGCTACATCAGTCTGTGTTCAGCACTCGTTCTGCTAGCATCTTAGTGTAGCTTGTGATCACACATTTTTCCAAACTTGTGTTCAGACATATTATTTGTGATATTTTGTGTGCAAAGTTTAATAACCCTTGCAAAAATGTTGCCAGAGAAAAAGCCGCAAAAAGACAGCCATAAGAGAATAAAATTAACCATAGAAATGAAACGTAAAATAATTGAAAAGCGAGAACGAGGTGTGAGCGTGGCTGATCTAGCACGCACATACACTCAGTCTACATCAACGATTTGCTCTATCCTCAAGAACAAGGACAAGATTAAGGAGATAGATGCTTCAAAGGGAGTGACAAGAATATCTATGCAATGGTTATGTATTCTTGACAACGTTGAAAGGTTGCTCCTCATATTGACAAACGAAAAGCAATTGCAAGGCAACACTATTAACGAGAACATCATTTGTAAGAAGGCAAAAGTGATTTTCACCGACCTCGTTAAGAAGACGCCAGGATCATCAATGGCCGAAGAAGAAGCATTTAAGGGAAGCCGTGGGTGGTTCGAGAATTTTAAGAGAAGAACCGGCATCTACAGTGTTGTAAGGCATGGTGAAGCAGCAAGCTCTGACACAAAGGCAGCAGAGAACTTCATCAGCGACTTCAAGAAGCTCGTAGATTCTGAGGGTTACCTGCCACAACAGGTTTTTTAATTACTGATGAGATGGGTGTCTTCTGCAAAAAGATGCTGAAGCGAACCTATATAACAGCAGAGTATAATGCATTGCCCGGCCATAAGCCAATGAAAGACTGTCACATACTGCTATTTTGTGCCAATGCAAGCGGCGATTTGAAAATTAAACCCCTGCTTGTTTACCATTCAGAAACTCCATGAGCCTTCAAGAAGTGTAAAGTCCAGAAGAGCAGGCTAAATGTGATGTGGAGGTCCAACAACAAGGCTTGGGTGACACGTGACCTTTTTACTGATTGGATCAATGAAGTGTTTGGTCCTTCTGTGAAAAAATATTTGCTTGAGACGAATCTGCCACTCCATGTCTTGCTTGTTATGGACAATGCTCCTGCCCATCCTCCAGACCTTCAAGATGACATCCTTGAAGAATTTAAATTCATCAAGATCCAGTTTCTGCCTCCCAACACCACTCCATTATTCCAGCCTATGGACCAGCAGGTTATTTCTAACTTTAAGAAGCTGTACACTAAAGCACTCTTCAAGCGTTGTTTTGAGGTGACTGAAGGGACCAATCTCACTCTCACAGAGTTTTGGAAATATCACTTTCACATCATTGCCGGCCTCAAGATGATCGTAAAGGCGTGGGAAGGGGTTACCAAGAGAACCCTCACTTCTGCTTGGAAGAAGCTTTGGCCGGAGAGCTTTGTCGAATGTGACTTTGAGGGGTTTGAGATAGTACCTGTGGAGCCTGTAGTCAACGAGATTGTGTCTTTGGCCAAGATCATGGGGCTGGAGGTGGATAACAATGATATCGATGAGCTTGTGGAAGAGCACAGCCAAGAGCTGACCATCGAAGAGCTTATGGAGTTGCATTGTGTTTCACAGCAAGAAGTTGTGGAGGAGAGTTTGTCAGAGGAGGAGGAGATAACAGCAAAGCAACAATCTTCTGGCGCAATAAGAGAAATGCTGAAGGCATGGGAAACTGTTGCATTGTACACTGAGAAGCATCACCCTAATAAGGGAGTGGCTATGCGCGCTACAAATTTATTTAATGATAATGCTGTGTTGCATTTTCACCAAATTTTGAACCGTCGGCAAAAACAAATGTCTCTAGACAGCTTTCTAGTAAAAAAGAATTAGATATGTATCATAAATAATAAACTAATTATTTCAATTTTTTGTTTTTGTTTTCTGCAAATCGAATTCGCATTCCAGGTTGGTTCATTCCGCATAGAAGAAAAGATGAAGATGATTCACACTCCTTAACAATGTATATATAATTTTCTTTGAATAAACGTTATACATAAAATGTTTTGAGTATTTTTTTTGGCATGGAATGCATTATCGTATTTTACATTAATTTATATGGGAAATATTGTTTCGCTTAAAAAGTGTTTCGCATTACGAGTAAGATTCTGGAACTAATTATGCTCGTTAAGCGAGGTTCCACTGTATTAAACTGGCATGCAAATTAGACAGCAATGCAACAAAGTAGCAAATACAAAACTGGGAGAATAAAAAAGTGACAAGGAGACCTCTGAACCTACTCCAAAAGTAACATTTCCTGCAACATTTATAAAAGCATTTAGTATTTAAAAAAACATTCCAAAATCAAAACAACATTTGTATAAAATGCAGGAATGCTTGCTAGGTAACTGTGCAAACTGAACCTTCAAGACCACAAGGAGCACATACCACTTACTCTGTCAAGTGCCCTATGGTAAAATATGACTATAAATGTATTCTCAATGACAACTAGATGTACACTGAAGGAAAACTGAAAAATAACCATAATAAAAGGTAGCAAGTGAATACGGAAAGCTGTTGCATATTTTAAAACAATATTATGAAGAAATATAGGTTGGTTATTTCTGATTGAATGCTGTAATATTCAACTATGCAGACAGAAACTCTGTCTAGGTATGGCCTTTCTACCATCTGTGATCACTGTGCTGGCTTTCACATTTCCTATTCAGTCACCTGAGGTGAGAGTGAGAACTCAGCAAAAACACACAGAGTGAATGTTACTAACTCACTTACAGAGACTTCTTTATATATCAGGTATAACATTTTCATGATGGTGAACATGAAGATGGGATGTGAGGCCACATAGTTTGGTACAAAGATACCAGCATTTCAGAGAAATCTTCAGCCACCAACTTCAGGGTAGAAGAAACTCCTTTTTACATTCCAAGAGGCCACAATCTCTGCTATACCTCTCAGAATTATACATAAAATGCAGGGCCCATAATCCTTCTCACACTAAAACAGCAAATTTTGCATAATGGAGTGGAATTCTGGATATAAAGATAGATTATGTGTGTTCTTGTAGCTGTAATCTTGTGTGTTCAATTATCCATTCAAATAAAATCAAGCATGGCATGAAAAAATTTCAATTCTAACTTAAGTTTGCCATTGTGAATTGAACAGAAAAACTGCATCTGCTCTAATATGGGTATAATATATTATACTATAGGTCTCCTAATTTCACTAGCAACTGAATCTCTGGGGCATGACTATATGGCAGGTGCATCTGACTCCACGAGAAAAGATCAACGATTTCCAGAAGCCTCAAGATGACTGCACTGAATAAGCACAGTTAAAAGGATAATTTTAAATCAAACCAGATAACACCTATCTTCAACATCAGCTTGAAGATATGTGTTAGAAGAAATAAATAAATGATGATGATGATGATGATGGCAATGACGAAGACAATGATAAACAACTGTTTTCCTTGTGTGTTATTAATTAAGCACCACACCATGAATACATATGAGGGAATACAGATACAGCTCCACCATTCTTGACCATGGCACTAGATGGAGATGTGGTCAGCTTCACACCCCTGCTACCTTACCGCTGCAGAAAGTCTAGACAATGTTGAGAAGAGGAAAGTCTCTTGCTCCTGCTGGGAATTGAACACCAATTCCTTGGCCATCCAGCCCAGAGCCTGTTGCTATACTGAGCTATCCCAGCTTTAATAATACAATACTGATGATGACAAGCATGACAATAACAACAAGAACAATAAATTTGTATTTTTATGGGTTCACTGAACAGCTACTGGAGCCAAGTAGATTTATCACAATATAACAAATAAAAAGCAAAAGAAAACAATATAGAGATGTAGGACAAATACATGCATATACAACATTCTACTGTCTAGCTGATGCAGAGCAAACATAACTTTGTAACAATGCTGAATGTAACAAAATGTGGTAACTCTTTGTTAACCAAATTAACAAAAGACTTATGTTAAAGAAATGACTATCATACACAATGAGGTTGTTACCTACTTCATTAGCTGCTGATGCCCAGCAAACAGAAAGGCATTTATTACGTAAAAGAAAATAGTGAATTCCCTAACATTTCTGGCTGAAACTCTGCTACCAAAAGCTTAAAAAGCACAGGCCAGATAATAAAACCATTAAAAACACCACCTGCAAATAATGTCTCAAAACAGCACCATCCCATAACTAAAGTCTGCAATTCTAAGTTAAGGAAACTATGATTAATAACTGCATGAATTATGATTTTTAAGGACCTATTGTAACATGTGGCAGAGAGCTTTCTCTGGACAATTTCTACCTTGGTGGATTCAGTTTTGATACAAAAACTCAAGACAAACACATTTCATCCTAACTCCACTAACATATAGCATCAAAAAATTGTCTGATGAAGAAACAAAAGATCTTGCATTTCTTGCCTGTGTTAAACCTAACAACTTTATAAACTTTATAGCATAAGAAAATAAATACTGAACATGCTAATAGAGGTATCATTTAAAGTTAAAAAAAAAAACACTAAGGTCTTCAATGCAATCTGTATATAGCATATCAGAGTTACAAAGGACAATGTTCAAAGTCATTACACTAGTTTTTCTGGAGAAAGTAACTTTTCTTTCATCAGCCTCCAGCATCATATGGTTAGTGGTACACCAGTTTTGCACAGAGTTAATATCCGATTGCAAATGATGACAGTTATAAACAGAGGCAATACAAAGAAAGAGTTAAAAAAACACACCAATACTAATGATCTTTTCTTACCAGCATCCTCTCAATGATATTTTACGTATCTAAACACATTTTACTTAACACATCACAGTGTAATTTTATCTTCATCTTGCATTTGGTTTCTAATAACGTATATGGTGCCGATCACAGTGGCTGTGTGGTCTAAGGCATGAACTGTTGGTAACTGAGACTTCTTTTCTCTTTAATTCCTTGACTTATGACCCATGACTGCATATGCGTTTGCTCTACTAGTTGTTGCGTGTTATTTTCGAGCCGGTAAACACTTCCCCGCTATGACGCAACAGCGGGGAGCTGCTGCTCGGCAACGAGACAGTAAACACTTCAACACTTCCCTGCTGTGACATAACAGTAGATGTGCTGCTGGTGGCGACACTTCCCACTTGTCCGATATATATATATAGGCTGGGGCAGTGGTGTTGACAGAAGCCAGGGGTTAGCCAGCACGGAGAGATGAACAATTTTACATTCTAGTGAGAGTTGTTAACATGAAAGGACTGATTGTGAAATTACTTGTTCAACATTTTGTGTTACAGTTACGTCGAATTGTAGTTACGTGGAAGAGTAATAAAGTGACATTTCAAGAACACGCCTCAAGGTCTTGTTCCATGACATGAACTATCTCCTCTCGCTCAAATATTTGGATAATGGGTTCGAATCCCACTTAAGGCATGGATGTTTGTCTGCATTTATTCTGTATTTGTGTAGGTAGTGGCCTTGAGAGGGGCTGATCCTCTGTCCAATGAGTTCTACTGTCTTAGGATTAAGAAACTGAAGTGAAACAAAGAGTTTCACAGATGCCCTAAGCTCCAAGTGGGAGCAACAGGAAAAAAGGAGAGAATGCATATGGTAAAAAGCCACTAGCTGAGAAAATGATGGGCATATGTGAGACTTTCAGTTTGAGAAAAGAATTTGGAAAAACTTTAACAATCAAGATGAAAATGAAAATTTCCTTCACTGGATCTTTTTTTCTTTTAATGTAATCACAATTTATAACAGTACCCACTTCTTCACAACAAAGTTTACCAATACATGTCCCTTCTGAAATCAGATCCTTTTTCAATGGATGTTTTCACAAACCACTGTATTTAAAAAATTCAAATCTAGGAGTATGTCCTTTTTCACCCAGGACAAAATGAGGGTGCAAGATAAATTATGTTTAGAGTGCACATACTTTGGCACAAAGCAAACACAGTTATCTCAAGTAGTTCAGAGTTCAAGACTGAGAAATCACTGTCTGCATCAAAAACCAAGATTTTATCTTTCAGTACAATCTAAAAAAAAATTTGAAACTCACAAATGCCTAGAAAATGAGATCTGACCTACAAAATGAAATCCATTTTTTTTTGTGCCAACCATTCATAATTAAATCAAAGATATACTGTCATCTTTGAATCTAGCAAACCTTCATTCCCACTCCTTCATAATCCTTCAGAAATCCACAACCAGTCTCTTCTTTTAATGACAAACTACTCCATCTCTACTAAACGACAATCAGTGTTTGTTTCCCAGTATTGCTAAATTTCAGATTCCCTACTAATCTGTGAAACTATGTTGCCTGCTGCTATATATGAGTGTTTAAAAAGTGGCTCAGGGCCATAAAAGGACTGGACAGATATGTTTTAAAATTTATTTCTGAGAACTACTAATGAGATTCATACACAACGATTTTAAAAAGTTGTTGCTGTCTGTATATTTAAAAAGCAAGTGCTCCAGAGAAGATAGTATTCTGAATAAGAGGATCACAAACAGCACATATTAGGACATGATGAGAACTTTAATATGCATACCAATGTATGAGAATTTGTAAGTTTATGAAGAAACAAGAGCCCATATCCCAAATATATTTGTAAAGTTCTGTACAATATTAATGCACTGTTTCAACTAAAAAACAATTACTAAAAAGTTAAGATTAAGACAGATAAACCTACACTTACCCTGACGACAGCTAATGATAGATTCTGTCTCTGTGCATGTTGTATCCTCCACATTTGTTCTACCGCCATGAATTGGATTGATGACACTGTAACATAGAGATAATGGTTTACTGCAACATTCTCTGTGGTCTGGCAGTCAGAGTTTCTGGCTACAGATCCAGAGGTCCCAGGTTCGATTTCCAGCACCACCAGATTTTCTGAGAAGCAGTGTGTCTGGAACACGGTCCACTCAGCCTCGTGAGGATAACTGAGGAGCTATTTCAAGGAAATAGCAGCTCCAACGGCCATGGGGCTCTGCTGCACTGACAACATGACACCCTCTATCTGCAAAAGTTGGCACTAACTTCACTGACAAGCGGTGGTCGCTTGGTTGTTATAGCTCACTTGTGGACTACAGGCCATGGAGTTTGTTTGTTCGTCTCTGTTCATAATCCATGTTACAAAATGTTATGAATGACGTGGATTATTTCTAACTGCATTCAAGTACTTTATGACACTTTATATATCTATTTATATATATATTTTTTTTTTTTTATTTTACTTAACACCACCTATGTTATATTTTAACTTCATAATTTTTCATACCATCACATTCTTCTCAACTGAACACAGAAATGCCTAATTTTAATGTGTGCACTCTTCCTCTGGCTTTTATTGCAAATGGAGCTTGTAGTTAAAAACCACACTCTCCGATTACCCAGTAAATGCCTACCACCTCTGGCAGGAAGTATGACCTTAAAGGATCATAAGGTTTCAGAAATTTGGTTATAGGATCAAGATGCCAAGTTTCTTAGAGGTCTCCAACACTCTACAAATCTATCCCTGGGTGCCATTTTACAAAAGATGTAACATTTTGGCCTACTTTCCTTTCTTAAAGTAAGAAAATAGGTTTATGAGACACCATGGTGCCTGTGTACTCCAGCTGTCCAATCTGCACACAGATGTTCTGGTATAAACATTTAGCCACTGCATTCCATTTGCCTGCCTAATACCAATTTGAAGGAAATGCAGTGACTGGTTTCTGATTTGTCCATCACAGTGACTGGTAATTGGAGACCATAGGTATAAAGTTGACCTGCATGTCCAATACTTCATGCTTATGAGAAGACTGGATGTTGAAGAAATTTCCTCCAGTCACAGATGTATAACCCTACATGGTTAGTTACAGCCATACACCATTTCTTCTACAGGGTGGGGCATATTAACCTTTCCGACTTCACAAGGTCATTGCTGAGGCTAGGGAGGGAGTAGAGTGGTGGGGATGGTATCGTTAGACGCATTATATCATGCAGTTTTCAGTACACACAATGGCTTGGTCAGGAGAACATCGTGCATTCATGCTGGAAGAGTTTATTAAAAATGGCGGTTCTGTGATCAAAACCCAGCAAGCCTTTTGCACTCACTCAGTCAGCGTGATCCCATTCCCACTGGACCAACAATTAGAAATTGGGCATCATATTTTAGAGCGACATCTTCTGCATTAAAAAGAAAATCTTCAGGCTGATTGTGGTGTCTGGGGTCGCTACTTCTTCAAAGAAGATGGCGAAGTCATTACAGTGACTTCTGCTCGGTAATGTTACATGCTTGAAAATTTCCTACTACCGAAACTCGATGAATTATTGCAAGATCAAGACCTGGAAGATATCTGGTTCTAACAAGATGGTGCTACAGCCCACACCTCGCATCATTCAATGGAGATTCTAAGACAAATGTTTCCTGGTCTTCCTCTCTTCGCGGGGTGACATTGGGTGGCCCCCCAGATCGCCTGATCTAACATCATGCCTCAAGGCAAAGGTGTACACACATCATCCCCGAACTATCGATGAACTGAAGACTGCCACCACCGAAGAAATCAACACTATTCCACGGAATATGACTCGTAGAGTCACGGAAAACTTCCGAAACAGGCTCCGTCAGTGTATGGAAAACAGAGGTGGCCATTTGGAAGATATTATTTTTAAACCCCATTAAAATAAAACTGCATTCTATGTCCTTTCAAATAATAAAATAATTTTGCCTGCATCTTTCTTTATTTCTATTCCACGCATTTTTGAAATCGGAAAGGTTTATATGCCCCACCCTGTAGAAACATAACTGGTGCACTGTCAAATCCAGTTACATCACTGCATAAGTTTCCAACCCCATTAGAATAGCAGATTGTTTATTATGGATTGAGTCAAAGTTGTTTAATACCTCTTCTAGAATAATAAAGCTGTGAGTTATTCTTAGTGTTCAGGTGATGAAGAGAATCTACTGCCTTGCCTCTGTGCAAACACTGTATGTCGGAAGTCTGGTGCTGACAATGGATAACTGCAACAGTTCCTCCCAAATTTTCCAACTGGGATGAGTGACTGCAAATCCGCATCCTGAGTTTTGGGAGGCTAGAAACTGAAATTCCCCAATGGAAGGATTCTGGGTTCATAGTGCACAGAGTCACACTGCCCTGTATCAAGTGTTAAGAAAAGATGCTTTCTGAGGCCACCATCACCGGTAGAAGAGCATACGGAACAGCACAGATCATTTCTATAAGTGTGCCAAAAGTGACAATCATCTAAGTGACTGCTTTGGAGATGATCTTTAAGAAGTCTGATAGTCCCCTAATTTCATATGAAGCCTTACAGTTGGAGAAAACTGTTGTTGGGAGGGTGCATGAGAGCCAAGTTAAGAGATCCTATTCTAGAGAGGTCTACGTCTAGTTTTTTCTTACTTTTCTTTTTCTCAGAGATCAGTGCCATGAATCTGGGGAGTTCCCTCCTTAAATCGTTGTCTGTGCCCCATATGTTTATTGCAAGAAACTATATATATTGTAACGTGTTTTAGTTACTGAAGATGCCGTCTGGATTGTTAATTGGTTTATTCAACAACCTACAAGTCTCGGCTACAATTAATTATAACACTGTTATGGGTTTTCACAATTTACAACCCCTATTCAATATTCAATTCACTCTACTGTCAGCACTCTACACGTTTTTATAACGCGGGAGTTATACAAGTGCAACTGTATCACACACTCCCAATTATTACTCGGTTATCACGAACTATCACTGATTCTCACACACGCGTCCGTAACTCGTAACTCGCCACTGGCTAGATTCCAACTCAACTGTAGGCTGCTGCCTTGAGAACTGCCTTCGGCGGCTGATACACTTAACTGTTCACTGCTGACTGGAGAACTGTCTTCGGCCGCTGATACTCTTTTAACTAACTCTGCAGGCAGTGTAGTGCTCTTATATAGTCACAGCGCCCGCCTGTTATGCAATGGGTACCGCTGTTGCCTGTTACCTGTGTCACAGATGCATTGTGTGTTACGTCACTGCGCAGGGGGGGGATGGAGCGCTGACTCACCCGCCACATCACTGCTGTGTAGGGAGGGTCCTCCATTGCGCAATATGTCACACTGCTCCCTCCTTAAGGCTGTTCATCCCGTATAGCCTAATTGTGCACCCCCGTTCCTTTGCTTTGGAGGCTCTTCTTGCAGCATCTGTTCTCCAGCTGTTACAACCGCTCTCCTAAGACGAGCTCATCTCGAGCGGTTTCCTTTCAGCTCACCTAGAAGATCACGTTGTATCACATTCATTCGTCGCACATGCACTCTTCCTCGGGAGGCCAGTACTTCTATGTTACCAGTTCCTCCTGTGTACTATTCCATTTTTTCCATTTCAGAGGGGGTCGACCCCTCCACAATGTCCAATCCTTGTGTATGTCTTCCCTGAGAAGTACTTTATGTTGACGTAACAGCACTTCCGATGTGGTCCGCACTTGCTGACGTCATCGTTCCTCCTGGTCTTCCAGCCACTTGCTGACACAAGACCGTGGCACCAAGTCCTCTCTCCGGCATCCGAAGGTTCCCTGGGGAGTTTCCTTCTTGAAGGCATTTCTCCAATGTCGTGCCACTGTTGCGCGACGGGATGTCTTCCTGTAGGTGGCAGCCAACTTCATCCGGGATTCATAATCTCCTCAGGTCCAAGATTTATCAAAGATGTTCCTCCAATGCCATGCCACTGTTGCACGGCGGGACACCTTCCTGCCGGTTTTCTTCTGCCGTGCCACTTCCGCACAGCGGCTCGTCCCTCAGCGGGCTACGGCCAACTTCTTCTGGGGTCCGCAATTTTCCCGCATCGAATTCTTCATATTTCGTCGCTTGTTTCGGTCCCTACACCTTTTCTTCTTCAGTTCTCTGACCGGCATTACTTCGGCGTCTTCTGCGGGTACCTCTTGTAANTGCCACTGTTGCACGGCGGGACACCTTCCTGCCGGTTTTCTTCTGCCGTGCCACTTCCGCACAGCGGCTCGTCCCTCAGCGGGCTACGGCCAACTTCTTCTGGGGTCCGCAATTTTCCCGCATCGGGTTCTTCATATTTCGTCACTTGTTTCGGTCCCTACGCCTTTTCTTCTTCAGTTGTCTGACCGGCATTACTTCAGCATCTTCCGCGGGTACCTCGTTTGTCAGCCGCCTCAGGTTTCCTGTCCACTGAGGCCGGCTTTTGTTCTGAATGTACCTCCATTTCTCAGCAGGCCATCGTCTCTCCGACCGGTATTGCAATGGGGGCCTCTTCTTGTTGTGCTGTCCTTGTGTGGGTTGCTCTCGTCTCCACAGCAGTATTTTCTCACCAGGCGGCCACCTCTTCTCGCCAGGCTTTCGAGTCAGCATCCATTTTCACCTCCCATCTTGCCAGCATTAGGAATATTTTTTCCATAACTTGTTTCTCCATTTTGTAGCAGTATAATTCGTTGAGGTGTGTTCAAGTTCGTAAACAATTCTGACACCAAATTGCCACATGTCTAAGGTTTGAATCTTGTTGGTCACATGTGTAAGTCCAAACCCACTCCTGACACCAGTGCAACGTGTTTTAGTTACTGAAGACACCGTTCGGATTGTTAATTGGTTTATTCAACAACCTGAACTTAAATAAGTGGTTTAGGAGTAATTTGATGTATTTAAATTTTGACAAAACACATCTTTTACAATTTTGGACTAAAAATAGTCAGAAGCTTGATTTAAACATTACTTTTGCAGATAAGCATATCACTGATCTTACTAATATCAAGTTTCTAGGATTGATTATTGATTATCACACACTCCCAA